TCACAGGGCAAAAATATTCATTGGCTTTATAATTTTTTTTAAAGAAGATATTTAGTTTTTAGCAAGCTGACAAAATCACATTGGAAAATATATTTCTAATCAATTAAGGAAGAAAGTAAGTTTGTAAGATTCATAAAATTAGGATGACCTAATCTAATAATGTCATAACATAATTTAGTTCCCTTTCTTCAGAGAAGAAAGATCTATGTTGATTGCGAAGGTATGATTACTCTTTTTGGAATCTTTATCATAATAGCATGGACTTTTGACCTCGTTAGCATTTCTAGTCGTTTTCCTCGATCTTTTGTCCTAAAATATACAAAATTTTGATGAGTGTGATTGTATACTTGCAATCTTTTGCTATCTTGCTTGTATATTAGATATTGCAGGAGAGATTTAGAGCATACAAAATATACAACAATAACAACATCAAGCCTTTGTCCCACTATGTGGGGTTGGCTACATGATTTCTTTTTCATCATTGTGTCTTGTTAAAAGTCAAATTCTCATTTAAATCTGATAGAGAAATATCATTTCTAATATTTTCTAACCAAGTCTTTTTAGGTCTATCTCTACCTTTCTTAACATAGGTCAAGTCTAATACCTCAACTTTTCTAATAAGTCAGAGTTAATTTTAATTACCCCTATCCTAACAATATGGGATAGAGATCCATTTCTTCTGACTTTGAGATTTTCAATTTAGGAAGTATAGGATGAGAATAGTTAAGGAAAACTTATTAGTAATCCAAGATTTTTAGCCTCCCTTAATTCAATTAATCATCTTTTTGGAGTAATGAAAGGGAGGAGCTGACATTTTTTTCAAAAGTGAGCAATTTGTATGAGAGGTATGCTTGTTCTTTATTAAAAAAAGAGTAAAAGCCAAACATAGTCCAATTATTGAATATTAATTTGATTTGTTACCTTTCATAAAATCATCAACAGTTTTCTCATGTGATTGGTCTTTTGAGAGACATCAAACCAAATGTGTTTTTTTTTTCCATGCCTCAAGTCATGCCCTAAATTTTGTTTTGTATTTCTGATGGCAAGAGTATATTTTTCAATTATGAGAGTTTTTTTATTACCTCCAAGCATTATAATTCTTCATCTTCTTTCTTCATTTTGAACTTAAAAAATCCACCATGAACTTCATGCAGGTCTTTATTTAGATTTGCAATGAAATCATTACTTCTTGTTTTCCTTAACGAAATTGATTTATTTATCTGCAGACTCTCCACACCAATCATTTATCTTAAAATTATCCAATTCTTACCATTACCAAATATTTGAGGGTGTGGTAAAGTATTCAGTAACACATGCTTTTTTGTTTGATGTCATGGGCATGGCCTTGTAATCATATAGAATTGATTAACCAGGATATTAAGAAGACATTATTGGTTTTAGGTGATTGAAAGGGTCACCATTTCAGTTTGACAGGTGGTACCATTCAGGTATTATATCCTTCCTCTTCCTCAGATCATTGTTAGAACCGTGTGAGATCATTGAAAGTTCTTCCCATTTAATAAGTAATTTCAAGAGGTAAGTGCTCTATGGAGACTACCGGATGATGGTATGGTTTGGAAAAGTGGAAGGAGAACTTGTCTTCTCTGCTTTGCTAGATCCAGTTAGGGCCCTCTTGCAGCTGTCGGCTATAGCTTAGATTGAACCTAGCTCTAAGACCATGAAATAAGTAGAAGAGAAATAGGAAGAATAATTAGAGAATCCTCAGTTTGGTTTATTTTGCTGAAACATTTGCCTATTTAGAGTTTTGTAATGGGTACAAATAAAACTTATTGTCCATCTTCAAAGAAAAATTACAGCTGCAATTACATAAAAAAAATGCTACCTATCGATGATGGTATCCCTAGTAATGAAATAATAGGCAGCACAACTACCAAATTTACATAACCTACTGCCTCCATGCCAGTAATCCATGTGTTTTCCAGCTGCTAGATCATTAATCTGATAGCCACCAAGCCATCAAGGGACCCATCCTTTGCAGTAGGAGCTGTCTTTCCCTCCTAGGCTGTCTGGTAGCATCAATTCCCCATGATTTCCACCTCTAAGGGACCTGCTAGCCACCATGGTAGAGAATGTTCTTTTGCTTTTATAGGAAAGAAATGCTGACATTCTTTTACATTTATATTTTTTTTGTTTTTCTTTCCTCTTGCTTATATATAAGCACATGTATGCTTTTTCTATGATGACAATTGAGTTAAGATATAATTCTTTTGAATTCTCTCATTAGAACATGATATTAGAGCCATGGCCTAATTTTCTCGGTCTTCCTTGAGCATTCGATGTCCATTGGCTTGCTCTACATTTCTCTCTAAATGCGAACAATATATATTTTATCAGTTTCTCTCTTTGAGAGATTCTTATCTCCATATCTAACCTAGTCCTCTTCGATGATCCCACCCATTTTCTTGCATGGCGAACTTGCATAGGCATTTGGCCTCATTCTCTATTATCACAAGACTTGTCTTTTTACCACTACAATCTACCTAGGTTCTCCTTGATGTGGAACGTACATGCAAAGATGAATTTCATAATGAATTTTCATGCTTAAATTTTTAGAGCTCAATAATTATATCTTTGCATTGAATTTAAACGTCGTAATAAAACACTAAGAGCGGTAAGACGAGCTTAGGCCGAATCACTTGCATAAAAATTTAAGGTAAGAAAACAGTCAATTTAATCTAACATTGCATACATGAATGGTTCAATGTAAATACCTAAATTAACAATGAGATTAGGCACTATGCATGAGTTCCTTCACTCAACTCTTTCAATTTCTAGGCATTAGCGGAGAAGTATTGACATTATGTTCATGACTATAATAATAACCACAATCAAGGATGTAACTATGAAGATAGCGAATCGGATGTTGAGTTTACCCAAAGACAAGAGAAATATGCACTCCGGCAGGATGGTTTGAGTGTTGGGGACGACTAGGACAGCCACCATGAGCTTCTTCGCACCATCGATTAGCCAAGACAAGGTCTGGATCTTCAAAACAACAGCAGTTTTTGATTTGGACAGATTCTGGACCTCAATTGGAACCTTCCGGATGAAGGTATGGTGCTAGGAGATTTGTAGAATCAGTGGACAGCCAGTTGTAGAAGAGCGGTCAGCAGTTTGAAGGTTTTAGGAGGCAGAAATTCAAGTTTCCCTCGCTGGAATTCTTCTGGATGCCGTTGGGCAGCAACCAGGATTTGTGGGCAGCAGGTTAGGTGCTTTTACGGCTGAATTTTGTTCTGGACAGCAACATTATACTCAGAAAATCTGAGCAGCAACCATCCCATAATGGGCCGGCGGTTTAAGAGGAATCAAGGAGGAAATTGGGTAGCAATTAATAGCCTATGAGAGAGATGGAGCCCAGTGAATGGCTGGCCACCTAGAGAGTGGAATAGGATTTAGAAATCATAAGTACGTGGGGCCCATGTTACTAATCCAATATTTGAAAAAAGAATCTGAATTGATTCTCAGATTTTGTAAAATAGGAAAGTTTCCAAATAGATGAGTAATCAATTGGGGAAGATTTGAATTTCAAATTTGAATTGAAATTCAATTAAGATGATTTCCTAAAATCAAGGAACTATTTTAGGAAAGTAAAAAATCTGAATTAATTCTGAGATTTTATGATAGGGAAAGTTACCAAAATTTTAGGCTCTCATTAGAAATAATTTGAATTGATCATTCAAAATTAGATCCAATCAATATGGAAGCCTTAAATCAAGGAGCTAAATTTGGAAAGCATTCAAGGCCTCATGAAAGCAATTGGAATTTCAATTTTTGAAATTCAAAGGAGGTGGAAGGGGGAAGCCGGCGGCCAAGGCAAGGGGCTGGGCTAGGAATGAGGTAGGGAGGCTGGCGGCCAAGGCTGTTAGGGGGCCGGCGGTCTGACCAGTCCAGTATGGACGGCGGCAAGAAAAAAAATTGGGGAGGAAGAGGGTTTGAATGTAGGGTTAATGGCATGGGGGAGGGATCGGGTGGCTGACCGGCCAAGTGGAGGGGTGGTGGCGAAAGATCCGGCGGCTAGGGGAGAGGGAAGAAAAAGAAATTAGGTAGAAAACCAAGAGCTCCACCAAGGGGCTGTTGGGTATTGCTTTGAGCCTCTCCTAGGCTTTCCTCACTTGAGAACTCACAAAGAGAACTCTAGAACTCACAAAGAGATCCAAACAAAAATTTTCATTAGCAATAATCATCATCCTCTCCAAGAGGAGGGAGAAGGCTTAAATAGCCAAATACATGAATGAAAATAAAAAGACACAATTGCCCCTGGGCAAACATAAGACAAAGCCCTCAAGTGAGGGTAGAAAGGGAAAAGTACAAAAGCAAATCAAATACATAAAATATATCAAAATAAATAGACATGATTGTAGCCGTTGATCTTCGATGTCCTCATCACTCCTAGAACGTATCCACCAGCTCTTTTGTTCGTACTATTTCAACCTCTCCATTGATGCTTTTAGTTGATATCTTTATCAATCTTCTCTATCAATAGTCTTATTTAAAGATCTTATTTGTTTCTTCTCTAACAGATATCTCATCGTCAACTGCTATCTCTTTCGCAGATCAGTTGCACTCTTCTTGCGACACTTAATATCTGAGCAACAAAACTTTCAACTATTTCATATTTGGTAATTAATATTTTTGGACTTAATTTGACATCCTTTATGCCACCTTAAGTTTTCGAGGAAGTGTTATCATATCTAAATTATTATGTTCCCTAAAGATTTATAGTAGAAAATTGCACTAATATTGTTATATTTCCTTAGTATTGATGATATTCTTGGTTATTGTCTTTTTCATTTATTACTCATTTTCTTGTTTATTGTAGGAATTTGCACATATATGCTTGTGATATGAAGATAATTTAGTGTAGATGTAGTCCTGTTCAATTTTTTTCTCCTATAACACTCCCAGTTGGATGATAACATTCTTTGTTGCAATTCATTAAGCTGTTATTTGAGGCTGCAACTAATTTTTTTAATCCTTTGGACGTTCCTCCACAATTTCTAATGCTGCCTTTTGTTAACAGTCGCATTCTTTTGCAACTATTTTTTTTGCACTCATGGTGAAAACTGTTTTGCAGGTTGAGTGCTCCCTCATGGCTGACATGGCAAAAGAGATTGTTGAAACTAATGGATTGTCTAATGGTGATTTAATTTGTGGATTCAACTAGTTGAAAGTGTCTGAAACTTCTATAGGTTCTAAAATTCTGTTTCTGTTTTGCAGTTATAACAGTTTTAAAGGGAAAAATTGAAGAAATTGATCTACCAGTCACTCATGTGGACGTCATCATTTCTGAATGGATGGGCTATTTCCTGTTGTTTGAGAACATGTTGAACACAGTTTTATATGCACGGGACAAATGGCTTGTAAGTATTTGGTAGAAGTTTAGATTTGTTTGTACATTTTTGCAATATTTCTGTTCCATGTTATTTGAAATCATAGTTAAAAGCTTTTTTCGACTGGTTGAATTTGAAATTCCTTTTTCCATTGTCTGATAAAAAGTTTTAGTTCTGATATTAAAATGGTTCATCATTGTTGACATTGGAAAGCAGAGAATCAGTTTTAATAACATTTTTAGCATCTGAGATGCTGGCTTATACATTCTAGTTATGTAGTGGATCGTTGATACTTATATTTGTAGTAGTGATAGCTGCTGGGTTGGTAAGTGAGTCGAGTTGGCTCAAACTCGACTCGGTGATGAGCTCGTGAGTTGAGCTTATCGAGCTTCGAACTCGAGCTCAAACTTGAGCTCGCATATTAAACGAGCTCGAGTTCGAGCTTGATGAGACTTGGCTCGTTGGCTTGCGAGCTCATCTCATTTAGATTGATATTTAAAAAAATACAAAAAGTTGTCTTATTTAAAAAAATATGTTGTTTCTAATGCTGCCAAAAAATACAAAACATTAATTGCATTTAATGCAAGCCTACATCTCCCAACTACTGCTGTGAATTCAAAAATAATCATTAGCTATTTTTTAAAAAAATGGGCTCATCTCCTCTTCCAATAAAAAAAAAGCATATTCTTCATCTTCAACCCTCTTCTTCTCGAAGGGGTCGTTGAGCTCGTCAATGGATCCAAAGTTTGACCCCAATGTAACTCGGCGACCATGCCTCCTTTATCCTTACTTCCTCCTTTCTCTAGTGAGCAAAGATCATGAGTTGGTGTGCTGAGTTCTACTCCCAACCTCCTCTGGCGAGCCAAGCCCATTGTAACTCCCACGACCAGACATTCCAACTTTTCTGATGGGGCAAGTTCACGAGTCAAGCTCGATCCCGAGGCAACTTAGGCGAGCCGAGTTCGTGCTCATCATATGGGCTCGATTTGAGCTTGAGTTCGAGCTTGTCTCTGTGTTGACGAGTCAAGCTCAATCAAGCCCAAACTCGAGCTTGACTCGACTGGTTTACACCCCTAGTTAAGATATTGTCTTTATTGTTTTGTGTAAAATATGGTTGTCAGTTCTTAGATAAAGTTTTGCAAAATAGACAAGATGCGTTGTAAGTCATTTTTCTAAGAAATTGATAGTCTTAAAGTCCGAAGAAGGTATACATCGTATAAAGAAAACAATTAAGAGTGGAACTAAATAAACTAAAGCTAAATCATGGACAAATAGCAAGAGTAAGTGGTCTCACCAATTTAATGGATGATAAGTATCATTGTTGTAGGTCTTTAATTAAAAGCCTTGCTGAAAAAGTGCCAGAAACAGCAATCCACCAGTAATTTAAGCAGCCCGATTGCCTGGCAGTGGAGTAAGAGATGAGAACGTGAACTAATTGCCCCCCACAAAATGAAACTAAAAATTTAAACTTACAATATATAACTGATAAAACACCTTATATGGTCAGTTGAAGTCAAGCTATATTTAGTAAATTGCAGAAGCATTGCATATGCGGTCCACTCATGTATTCATGCTTCTAAGACTTAATGATAATCAAAATAAACGCCTATAGCCCTCAAAGTAAACTGTTAAATTGTCCGAATCCAGAATATTAGATTAGCATCTAACTAAAACATTTCATATGCTTGTCGAAGCTTCCAAATTGACTGTTAACGAAGTTACAGGTTGGGACAACTGAAAATTGTATCACTAGAGTCATGGAGGTAACTTATTAATATAAACTCCTCTGTTTAAAATTGCGCAATAAGAGGCGCGCCTCTGCGCAATTTGACCCAAAATCACCTCGAGGCTTACGCAATTCCTCTCCTAGCAGAGGCGTACGCCTCACTTGGACTGAGGCGCGCCTCAGAGGCGCAATTGCGCAATTCTGGCTGAGGCGTACGCCTCAAATATATGCTCAGTACCGTTCTCATTTACGCAATTCTTCGTCGGTGAGGCTTACGCCTAACACCGCCTCGAGGCTTACGCCTCGCCTCACGGACGAAAAACGCCTCGAGGCTTATTTACGCAATTTTAAACCTTGATAAACTCTACTGGAATTGTTAATGTCTCTCAAAGCTTTAACTAAGATTAAATAGAAACTTAGAATGGTAAGTTAATGCATAAAGTATGGATACTGTAGGAGAACGCGTGGATATGATACAATGTAACATGGAAATTTGGAAAGCCCTAAAAGAATACTTGAAAGAATGAAAAGTGCATGTATCAATTATCTATAACCTATATTGATATTATTTTAAGGTGAATGTACAATGATCAAGCTCCGGCTCTGTTTACCAAAAATTATCTTATATTCGGTTTCTTTCGGAGAAGGAGAAAGGGTGTAACAGAACCCCTCCTAGGAAATGGGAAACCAGCCTTTGTTCGGTCCTCTCTTTCAAAGCTGTTAAGCATTTCTTTCCCTCTATCAGGCTAATCTCTCTGGCTTTTAGGGCAGGAAGAGGAATTGCTACCGCACTCAACAGTTGGCCTAGCTTAGCACTGCTTACAACAATTATCAGTTAGATCTCATGCAGATTCTTAGCTAAAGTTGCAGTTTCAATTGAAGGCTAAGTTCTTAAACTCTATCCTAGCATATTTACAATCTTTATCTTATATAAAGTAATAATGACATATGTATAATTAAATATTATTGTTAATAAACAGGCTTAGAATTCACATAGGGTTGTTTCTATGTTGTTTTCCACAAATTAGTAGTTGCACCATAATTTGATTTTGGTGGAATGATGTTTGGAATCCCAAGCTTGCATGGGTAAGCCTCTTCATGGTTTCAATTCCACAAAATCATCAGCAGATATGCTCAGTGATCTTTGCAGTGGTAAATTTATCTAGTGCAACACAATGAAATAGAGCATTAATGTCCTAATGCAAACTTATCACATTTTAAATGAAGCTTCACACGTAATAATGGTTAAGTATCTTGAATGGCATAGTTTATACTTTGAAATGGCCAAGTTAAATTTAGCAACCACATTATTAATAATGGTTAACATGAATTTATTTGATTCATAAAATTGTTTGTCTTTGCCATAGATTAAATGTTACATGTTATTCTTAAGGAACTCTTAGTGCCTGCGTGGAATCAGTTTTTGTTTTTTAATTTTTTTTTTTTAAAAATTAAGAAAATAAAAGGATTAAATATGTTTGATAATTATTTTATTTTAAAAAGCTAATCAAATTATTTTTATAAACATGTAAAACAAGTTTTAGATGCTTTGTTTTTTTTTTTTTCAAAATAATTTTCTTTTTCATCCCACTCCGTTAGCTCCTAGCCTTCTCCCCCAGCATCTGCCTCAGCTTCACTGTGATTTGCATCATGAGTTGCTTTGGCAATGTCTCCAATTTCACAGAAGAGTTCATTTGCGCTAAGCAACATTTGTGATCTTCCTTTATCCTTCAAAGCAATGGAGGCATGCCAATATGGAGCAAAGGTGTCACCTCCAACTGCTTGCATTGTATGTGGCGTTGCAGTCGGTGATTACTTGCTGGCCGATAGCTTTTCCCTAGTCTCTCTATTCAATTATGATGTGGAACCATCTAACCAAATCATGAGAATTGGATTAGTGTACTTCGTCAATAAATTTTTTTGACCAAGAACATCTACCAAGCTTGCAACATTGAAGCTATGGACTGGTAAGAGTTGTGATGTTCACAGGGATGGCGGTGTTAGGGGTGGTGCTGATTACCCATATGATGATGACGAATTTTGATACTGACCATATACAGTATAGGGATACATTAGGGCCTAGTTCTCCAAAAAGAAAATCAATCTGTTTTTAAGATACGAATCCTATTTTTTATTTCATATTAAAACACATAAAATAGAAACAGAACAAATTAAACATAAAAATTCCCAAATAGTCCCCTAGTATACGAGATATAGTTACAAGTGTGAGTTTCTGTCAATTCCACAGAAACACAAAAATAAAATAAAATAAAATAAAAACCGTTGTCACACATATACATAAAAGAATAACGCAAAAAATAAGATGGTTTGTAATAACAAAAAAAGGTAATATGTTCCCTACAAGGCAGCTGATGAATCTGAACTTCAATTGTCCTTTCTCTCTACATTAATAAATTTATAGAAGTTTGTAGTTCCTTTTCCTTCTATGGGTTTTTATTCTGCAGGATGTCATAGATTCGATCAAGGAGCAAACTATATGCTTTATTTGCCTGACCTTAAATGCATTGATTTAAGCAACTGCAGTAGCGAATTCAGTACGTAGAGCTCAATTAATTTTATAAGAAGGTAGAGGATGACAGCTTGGATTCTGAAAGAGACCCAAGTTTGGGAATGTGTTCCAAAGGTTCTAAAGTTGAGTTTGATATATTATAGGTGAAATTATTTTTAACCAGTATTTCTATATTAAAATATTTTTCATCTTTGTCATTGTATGTTTGAGACTAAAAACCTAATACTCTTTTTTGTGTTAGTCATCTTTCTAATAAAGGATTGAATCAACTGGCACTTAATATATTTTAAATTGAAATAATAGAGAAAAATTTGCATTAATGTTCTTTAAAGTTTAAAAAATTGATTATCTTGAAAAGAATCAGTTCTGAATCAGCAAGGCATTAGCAGGATTTAAAAGAACAAGATTTGGACAAAAACGAGGTAATAACTTTGTATGATGGAGTATCCTGAGAAAAAAAATACAATTCTTTTCAAGCTACACCTTTTTTTATCAAATATATTAACAAATGCATTTTACTAGGACTATAGTTTTCCAATGGTCCTATAATAAAGGTAAGACACTTGTTTCTTAATCAAAATAAATATGGTAACCAAAACTTAGCAAAACTTATGGAATCATTTATGTTCATTTAACTTACAAAAGTATAGAGAGAATAAGGAGGGTCTACATATGATATTTATTGATTTAGAGAAAGCTTGTGATAAAGTTCCAAGACAAGTACTATGATTCTAGAGAAGAAAGGGGTTACTAATGCTTATATTCAAATCATTA